AGCACTGTTAAGGTTATTCTACAGCACTGTTAAGGCTATTCTACAGCACTGTTAAGGTTATTCTACAGCACTGTTAAGGTTATTCTACAGCACTGTTAAGGTTATTCTACAGCACTGTTAAGGTTATTCTAGAGCATTGTTAAGGTTATTCTACAGCACTGTTAAGGTTATTCTACAGCACTGTTAAGGCTATTCTACAGCACTGTTAAGGCTATTCTACAGCACTGTTAAGGTTATTCTACAGCACTGTTAAGGCTATTCTACAGCACTGTTAAGGTTATTCTACAGCACTGTTAAGGTTATTCTACAGCATTGTTAAGGTTATTCTACAGCATTGTTAAGGTTATTCCAATAAGAACTATACTAAAACTTCCAACTCTGATAACCCACATGTATTCCCTTGCATTTATTATAATCAAAAACCATCTGCCATTTATTTGTATAACTCACTAAACGATCTAAATCATTTTGTAAATCAGTAGCATCTTCTTCACAGCTAACAACATGCAAGACCTTAATATCATCTGCAAATTTAAGTACTTTATTGACTACTTCTTCATCTATGTCATTGATGTAAAACAAAATAAGAGGAAAGGTCCTAATACTGACATTAATCTATATATAAAAACCCTCTGCTTTCTTTCATCCAGCCAGTTTTATATCTAATAAGCCATTTTATCCCAAAAACCTACAAAGGTCAGAGATATATATATACCTAGTTTTATTTTATAATTAGTTCAAACAACATATCATTTACTCTGCAAGTGTTATTTTGTAAACTGCTGTGAATCTTATCCCACATTACACAAACCCATAGGCAACTTTTGGTTTCATTTACAAAGTTTTTAAGCTTCACATAAAATACAATATATTCAAGCAGATAAACAGTCTGAATCATTAAGTGTTTCATTGTGAAAGAGGACTTTAATCTTACACCTTAAAAAAAGGGTTATCAGTATCTCTTTCTACAAATGTATCCCTATTTAATGTTAATATTAAATTTTAAGTCAGAAAGCTGATAAGTGAGAAACAGCCCTGGGACTGGAAATTAAACCCAGGATCTCTGGCTAACAGAGTCAGGGCTCTACCAGTGAACTATCAACTGGATCGATCTAATAAGCTTCAATAAGACTATTATCACCCTTCTTTCACCAAGAAAACATAAGTTAATGTTTTAAACTAAATTGTTTACTCAATACAATAAAAAGTTATTTAGTTTGTTAAACAGGTATGATACTATCAACTGTAAGATACTTTCATTTTGTCCTCATAGCTAATTGTGAAGAAATTTGGTATATAATATATTTTAACCTCTTAATTTTACTTCAATTACACCACTACCAACACTTCTCTTTTCAAGAAAACAAGTTTTCAGCTTATCCTCATATGACACCCCCATCCATCTCCACAACCATGCTAATAGCACTCTTCTGAACCCCTCTCCACAAGCATGGTGCTATGAACTGTAAGATACTGTCATGTAATACTTAATATAGATGTGATGTGAACTGTAAAGTTTATAATAAAACCTGTAACATGTATAATGTACACTTAAGTGTAGAGATTCCAAACATACTGCTTGAAGAGTTTTCTGAAGGAACAAACATACTGCTTGAAGAGTTTTCTGAAGGAACAAACATACTGCTTGAACAGTTTTCTGAAGGTACAAACATACTGCTTGAAGAGTTTTGTGAAGGAACAAACATACTGCTTGAACAGTTTTCTAAGGTATAAACATACTGCTTGAACAGTTTTCTGAAGGTACAAACATACTGCTTGAACAGTTTTCTGAAGGTACAAACATACTGCATGAACAGTTTTCTGAAGGTACAAACATACTGTTTGAAGAGTTTTCTGAAGGAACAAACATACTGCTTGAAGAGTTTTCTGAAGGTACAAACATACTGCTTGAAGAGTTTTCTGAAGGTACAAACATACTGCTTGAAGAGTTTTCTGAATGAACAAACATACTGCTTGAAGAGTTTTCTGAAGGTACAAACACACTGCTTGAAGAGTTTTCTGAAGGTACAAACATACTGCTTGAAGAGTTTTCTGAAGGAACAAACATACTGCTTGAAGAGTTTTCTGAAGGTACAAACATACTGCTTGAAGAGTTTTCTAAGGTATAAACATACTGCTTGAAGAGTTTTCTAAGGTATAAACATACTGCTTGAAGAGTTTTTCTAAGGTACAAACATTCTGAAACTTCTCAAAATTGGAGGGCAGTCCAACACATTCCACTAGCCAGCACTTAACATTCACGTACTGTTGATTAACTCTTTAATTATTTCTTTTTTGCTTTTTATTAATATAAACCACTCTTTAAGTTTCTTTTAACAAATTATTTGTGCCAGGAGGCCACTGGTTACATGGCATGAAAAGGTTAGGAACCAATATTGTAGAATATATAATTGCATTGTGTACTATCACAGTACATAAACACTCCTCTTGTAAAGTACAATGGTCTAGTGTGAGTACAAGTTTCCAAGTTCCACCTATGACACATAATATGTTAATATGATCTGAGGATAGTGATTCACTATTTTTTTTAAGCATCAAGTTAGCTGAAGGTGACCAAGCTTAAGATAAATAAAATATATCATATCTCTAACGTTGTTTTAAATGTATCCATTACATAAGTTGTTTTGAAATTATTCATTTCACTACAAAGACAAGCCATGGTATAAACAAAGTTTACATCTAAACAGATTCACAACAAATGTGTCAGAGGATCAAGAAAGCAAATGAGAGGTTGTAAAAGGAAGTAATTTTAATTTTAAACATTTTTGTTCAAAATTGTAAGGTGAAATGGTTAAATTGATTATTTAAATGAATTATTACAAATGGATTTTGTACAAATGTACTCTTTTAAAAGATATTTGAATTATAAGAAGCGTTTAAATTTGGTGCTTACTAATCTCGTAATTTATGATACATTTTCCATACCTGGCAATATTAAACACTGCATTATTATGTATTACTAAACTATATCAAGTCAAACTATTATGGTATTATGTTGCTACACCTGCTCGAAAAATATTCATGTCCTAATTTAAAAAGAAAGGAAGATTAAATGAGAAATAAATACATCTATAAATTATTAAATGCTATGTCTGAATCATAACACTGTATTATCAGAGTTAGTAGGTAGAAAAAACAAAAAACAAGTGATTAAATAGACAATGATCACAAAACTTTATAAATATTTCTAAAAACCTATGGGTAATATACATGCAATATTATTACACTCCATTATTATGAAAAATATGTGGCAGAATATCTAATTAAGAAAATAATCATAACGCTGTATGTATACATTGGAAATAATGATATTTCCATTTTGAAATATTTTATTCACAAAGTAGCTATTTTGAAAGGTCAGAGTATGTGCAAGTACATAATTGAAAACATTATAAATCCTGTGAAGTTTTACATGCAGGTATTAAGTATTCTATACAAATTAATTCCTTTTTTTTAATCAATTTTCAGCTCATCTACTTTACAAATGTGGTTTCTCTTTACTGACTTAATATTTCAATCCTGACTCACATTCTTCAATTTTGAAAAACAAAATATAATGCATCCTTTATCAAGCAGAGTTTTAACCTTTTTGAAAGAATCCAAGTACTGGACAAAGGCCTAGAAATCACTTCATGAATAACGATATTCCATAAATGTACAATTATGCATGTATTGTCACTGAACTTCCATCTTTCTAGTTTTTGTAAAGTTCAGTTTTTTCACACTACATGTAATACTTTAAAGTTTAACTACTTAAAACTAAAATTATTATAAGTCCACATATTTTAATATAACCTACATATTTTAATTACTTAGGAAAATATTTTCCACGCACGTGAAACTAAAAAACCAGGTCCAGTGTCTCTTTAATTGTATATAGATTGGTTCATCTTCGTTGCTACTAGTGACAATGTAAATATACGGGGCAAATGCAGGAGACACTGGGAGTGGGAACGCTTACGTTAGTGTGTAATTTCTCAGTTTGTCGATATTTGAGACGGGATAAACCACGTTTTCATCACAAACCTAGTAACCTAAACTTATTGTGAAATCACGCAGATAGTACCGTCCTGTGCTTCATTATACCGCATAGTTCAAGACTTAATTTTCGTCGTAACGCAGCGCAAGATGCAGCCGTACTTAAGTAGGCCTAACTTAGTTACTCACCTCGTCGATTCAATGGTCTTACACGAACAGCGACTTTCACTTTATCTGATGCCATATTTCGTTAAGTTATTTGTGTATCCGCTAAAATCTAAACTAAACAAAATCTCATTTGTAGGAATAGCTACAAGCAGGGCAATCGTCTTAATATATTATACACAACAATGTTACATTGTCGTCCCTCAGATTTCAGGCGTGGAAAACACAGTCTTCACACGCCGACATTCGCCATGTTTGATCTCTATATGACGTAACATCTCGTGAGCTCGTAAGACAGCGAGGTGGTGTAATTATTTAAAAAAATGGCACACGTAGAATTGGATTTTGGCGTCATCTTTGAGTCGATATCTGTACTATAATTTCTTGTAGTCATGATTTCCGCAAGACAAAAAGGTTTGTTTGTTTAAAATTTTCGCTCAAATCTCATACAAGAGCTATATACGCTAGCCCTCCCCAATGTTTAGCTTATAGACTAAAGGGAAGGTAGCAAAACAATAACACCCACTACCAACTCTTGGACTACTGTCTGACCAAAAATATTTACTTGACTATAAGGAACTCCTATGGGGGAAAATTAACCCTAATGTGTGGAGCGTAGTTTTTGTTTCTACGGTAACGGAACAAGAACCATGAAAACGAAAAATTGGATCCATATTCCAACATACTAGCTTTTAGGACGCATCAGGCCCAATAAAAACGTAAACTCATTTTTCACCTTGTTTTCTCATGCACAATTGATTCATCTAATGCGATTTAGCTTTTTATTGTAGCTGAACAAAAGTAATTTGCATTGATCAAGTAAGAAAGAAAATAAAAATAAATACATAATTAAATTGATTTTATACATTTGAAATTTATTCGATTCTTTGAAATTAAATAACTAATAATAATTTTAAAGATATATTATTATACCATATTTATATCGCAAGGTAGCTGGTGAATCAAAACATTTTCAGGATTAAGAATTATTAAACGTCACAATAAGCCCTCTAGTAATTAGAATCTTCATTTATTACCGGCAAAACACGAGTTTTTGTTTGTTTGTTTTGTTTTTTACAGCAAAAAACGTCATTAATAAGATTTCTTTGTTGACTGGTAGCGAGGCCTTTTCTTTATTATATTTATTTTATATAGATGTCGCTAAATTTTTCCTAGCGGGTTTCGATTCTGTTTGCCCACCAGTGGTACAGCGGTATGTCTGCGGACTTACAACGCTAGAATCCGGGTTTCGATACCCGTGGTGGGCAGTGCACAGATAGCCCATTGTGTTTAGTTTGTGCTTAATTACAAACAAACAAACGATTCTGTTTATAGTTTATCTTTTTTAGGCATGTTTATAAATATATCG